TTTGAATAATATTGCATGAGTTCCTTGTTTTTCAATGCAGCATAGTATTCCATTGTGTGAATATACCACAGCTTCTCTATCCATTCATTTGTTGATGGGTCAATTGCTTGTTATGCTTCAGAGAATTGGACAATGACTAAGGAAGACAGAAGAAATATAGATGTCTTTAAGTTGTGGTGCTGGAGAAGAGTCTTGAACATACCATGGACTTCCAAGAAAACAAATAGGCCTATCTTAGAGAGGGTGAAACCAAGTCTCTTGTTGGAGGCTAGGATTTTGAAGCTCTACCTCACTTACTTTGGGAGTGTGGCCAGAAGAGATCAATCCTTGGAGAAGGACATCATGCTCAGAAGGGTGGATGGACAGTGCAGGAGAGGGAGACCCCAGATGAGATGGATTGATACAGTGACTGAGGCGATGGAGGTTGGTGTGTCAGAATTAGCGAGACTGGCTCAGGACAGGGAAGAGTCCAGAGCTGCTGTACATAGAGTCTCTCTGCATCACAGGAAACTCAACCATTTTATGACAGATTTGGAAATAGGAGTAGCATCCACTTCCTTTTTTTTTTTCTATAATTATATTTTATTAATTTTCCTAGCATCCACTTCCTAAAGGGCATACTTCTGGAAACTCTATGAACTTTGATAAATGTGGATAGCTGTAGAGAGGCTTCAGACCTTTTGTTCATAGGATCACTATGAGTCAAGCTTGATTCAAAGGCAATCAATAATAATCCATTTTGTAATTGCCTTATCAGTCTTTTTCTTGTAGAGGCACTGTTTTGCTTTGTACTGTCAAGTCAGAATAGACTGATAGGTGACCCTTCAGAGGCCACCGTGTTGGTGTTGTTGTTAGGTGCCATGGAGTTAAGTATGACTCACCATGACCCTATGAACAACAGATCTAAATCCTGTTCTATCCTGTCCTGAATTCTGTATTATCCTGTGCCACCTTTACCATGCCTAATACATTTGAGCCCATTGCTGCCGTCACTGGGTCAATCCAGCTCAGAGGAGGTCTTCCTCTTTCATTGATCCTCTATACTTCCAAACATTATATCCTTTTCCAAGGATAACAACATGTCCAAAGTATGAGAAATGAAGCTTTTGCATCTTTGCTTCCAAGGAGCATTCTGGCTGCACCTTTCTCAGGACATCCCTGTTCATTCTTCTGGAAGTTCATGGGATATTCAGTACCCTTCTCCAACACCACAACTCAAAGGCATAAATTCTTGTCATTCTTACTCATTGTCAGATACAAAGCAAGTAATGGAAAAGATCATGGCCTGAAGTGGGAACAACTTATTCTTTAAACTTAAATCATTGTTCTTCAATATTTTAGAGAGGTCCTTGATGCAAAAGTTGGGAATCAGGAAGAAGGATCAGTTGTCAGAAAATTTGGACTTGGTGACAGAAATTAGGCTGGGGATAGAATGATAGAATTCTGTACAATGATTTATTCATAGGAAACATAAATGTAGGCCATACAAACAGATTTTATTGATGGGATGCAAAGGAATCAGATTGATTACATCTGTGGAAGGAACCGTTGGAGTTCAATATCAGCAGTAAAAACTAGGCCGGTGCTGATTGTGGAACAGACCATCAGCTGCTCATATGCATGTTCAAATTGAAACTAAAGAAGGTTAAATCATATCCACAGGAATCAAAATTTGACCTTGAGTCTATCTCTATGAATTTAAAAACCAACTCAGGAATAGATTTGAGGCCTTGGACACTAATGAACAAAGTCCAGATAAGCTGTGGGAAGATATCAAGGATATCATTGATGAAGAATGCAAAAAGTCGTTACTAAGAAGGAAGAAGAAAAGACCAAAATGGATGTCAAAAGAGACTCTGAATATTGCACTAGAGCACTGAGAAGCCAAAGCAAAAGGAACAATTCAGGAAGTAAAGGAGCTGAATATAAGATTTCAAAGGGCTGCTTGGGAAGACAAGACAAAATATTATAATGAAATGTGTAAAGAGCCGGAGTAAAAAAATCAAAAGGGCCAAATTTGCTCATCATTTCTTTTTTGTGTGTGTGCTTGTTATTTTTATTTTTAAATGAATTGGTAAGTAGGTTTCCACTTCAGTTTTAATTTCTAATATGGTAAATTTTTTTATTAATTTTAATAGACATTTACAGAGGTTTTGGATTTCCATTAATTCATTGCTGCACTTTTCTCCGTGCCCACCCCTCCCCACCAGTTTGCTCCCCTCTCCGAAAAGAAAAAGAAAAAAAAATCCTTCATTAGTATACAATTCCCCCATCCCTTCACCCCCACCTCCCACCCCGAGTACAATTCTCTATGCAACCTTAATTCTGGATTCCTGTGCTAACCATAATGCTCATCATTTCTTAAGCTGAAAGAACTAAAGAATAAATCCAAGCTACGAGTTGCAATGCTTAAGGATGCTATGGGCAGAATATTGAATGATTCAAGAAGCATTGAAAGCAGATGGAAGGAGTATACAGAGTCATTAGAGTCATTTTACCAAAAAGAATTGGCTGACACAGAAGAATTTCAAAAAACAGCATATGAGCAAGAGGCAATGGTGATGAAGGAGGAAGTTCAGGCTGATCTGAAGGACTTGGCAAAAAATAAAGCCCCAGGAATTAATGGAATGCCAACTGACATATTTCAGCAAACAGATGCTGCCCTGCATGTGCTCACTAAGTTGTGCCAAGAAATCTGGAGGACAATTACTTGGCCAACTGATTGAAAGAGATCTATATTTATTCCCAATTCTAAAAAAGAGTGACGCAACAGAGTGTAGAAATTATCATACAATATCACTAATATCACACACTAGCAAAATCCTGCTGAAGACTATCCAGAAAAGAATTGAACAGTACATTGACAGAACACCACCAGAAAAACAAGCTGGGTTTAGAAGTTGTGGCACTAGAGACAATATTGCCAATGTCAGATGTATCTTGGCAGACAGCAGAGAGTACCAGAAGAATGTCCATCTGTGTTTCATTGACTATGCAAAGGCATTTGACTGTGTGGCTCACAATAAATTGTGGCTAACCTTGAGGCGAATGAGAATCTCAGAACAGTTGA